GTTATAGTTTATATATATTACGGTGTACTAGATCAAATTCTCGAATACACGACCTCTAGAGCCCTTCGAAGATCAGTAATATCGTAAATCTAGTATTTGTATCTAGTAGATGATTATATTTGCCAACATATATAAGTATAGGTAAGTATCCCCAGATCTAGGCCTAGCTCCCTTTAAGGCTCATTTTAAGCCTGTTCATTTTATATTTTTGACAATCCACTTTTTCCATTATTTCTACGTTATTACGATATAAAACACGATTCTAATTGGATACGGTCTGTTAGCCTGTATCACTATATTGCTATTAAAGTAATTTATTTTGCCATTAGTATAACGGTAGGGTAGGTTAATTTAGTTTTTGCCAAAAACGTTGCGTATAATTTAATTTATATAATATTATATAATTGCTGTTAACTTTTAAGCCAATACAATCACTGTAAAATAGTGTGTGTAGATTTAAATAATGTTTTTAAATTATAACAATTAATTTTTTATTGACATCTGTAGAAAAAATCAAATTTTTTTAATTATACTATGTTTAAAAAAAAAATACATTAATATTTAGTAAAAATTTCAAATATACATAGTTATTTGTTTTTAAATTACAACAAAATAAATAAAAAAAAAAACTTCAAACACTTTGACCTTTCTGTAGAATTTTTTTTATATGTTAAACAAATTATTACAAAATTTCAAGTTCAAATTTAAAATTTTAGGTATGAATATTAATTTTTTTTATAAATTGATGTTACAAATCAAATTATTAATTTTCATGGTTTTAACGATTTTGACAAAATTCTAACTTCAAAATGTATAAAAATGTTTAGAGGATTAAAACTCAATTTTTAATTTTTATTAATAAAAACTTATGAGAAACCATGTATTGAGTTGCTATAATTTTTAATTCAGCAGAATATTTTTGTTCTCAGTTGAAAGAAAAAACTTTAAAAAAAAAAAATCGAAAATATAAATTGCATTTTAAATAGATTAAAAACGGTAAAAATATTTTAAAAATCATATCATGTAATTAATTATAATTTAAACACTTTGTGAAAATCTCAAGTTATTATGAGTATTTGTTTTTGAATTACTCGAATTATATTATAATACAATTAAGAAATTAATTTTGTCAAAAACTAGTTTGGCAATTATTTTTTTGTTTTATCCGACTATTAAGAAAATAATTAAAAAATGTATGAACGAGTAAAAATACTTGAAAATTTAATTTGAATTATAAATTTTTAAATTTTCACATAGATAAGTTATTCTTATATCTGTAAAAAATATAAAAATACTATATAGTATATATAGTACACTTTTTTATGTATACATTAAAAGTTAGAATTAAAAAGAAATTCGTCGAAATCTAAAAAAATATTAACTATTTCATAGTTAAAAATTTCATGAAAAAAACTTTTTTTTTTTATATCTAAGTTTTTAAAATTTAATTTAAAATACCTCATAAATATTTTATATTGAAACCATAAATAAAAATTATTAATTTAACACAACTATTTTTACTATATTATTTAATGATGTTAATTATTTCATTATATTTTAAAAACATTAGTTAAAACTACAACTTTTATGAATTTTGTATCATAAATTTTACTTTTAAAATTTAACACAGTCATAATAGTGACCCATTCGATATTTAATGTAATATAATGCAGTATCCACTTGCATATTCTTTTTTGTTATTTCATTTTTAGTTTTTCTTTGATAACTTTTCAAGCCTTCAAGGTATAGTGTTTTAAAGCAGTTTTAATTAAATTTCATTATTAGTCTCGTAATGACCTATTGAAAAGAAGGCTAAATTGATTATTTCTGTAAGTCTGAAAAAATGACTGCTGTTCCTTTTATACAAACATATACTATACTTACACTTACACACACATAAACATAGAATGCTTTTGGGACAATTATTACAAAAATGTATGTTTTTAAATTACCTTATAGTAGTTAATGATCAATTTTAAAAGTTATTTCTTTTTTCATAGTTCATCGATGTGTTAATTAATAGAAAATATAAAGAAATAAAATAACATTTAAATATTTCATTTTATGTAATACGTAAATTATAACATAATATTGTAATATTGGTTATTCGGATATTCCTTTATATTTAGTAAGTTTTATTTTCTACGAGTACCAACATTATTACGTCAATATTGGTCACTCAAAACTTGTAATGTTGCATCGTATATTACAGCTGTTGACCTTAGCATAGACTAGTATTTTGTACCTTCAACTAAGGTAGGTACATTATATTATATAACATAGGTATATTTAAATGTAATTTGTAATCATTATGACCAAAAAACAATTTTAAACTGAGATTACTTCTATTAAAAATAGTTAAAACGTATGTTTTTATTATCTATAAAGTCACTTTTATTTTTATCGAAATTTTCGTACAAAATATTTATAAACTGAACTTTTTTTAATTCCATTCGGTGGTTAAATATTTCCAATAGATTAATTGGAACTGTGGTGTTATCATAGATAGGGTGACAAAGGTCTATATTATATTTATCCCTTGGAAAACATTATTTACATTATTATTAAGATACAAAAACCATGTTTCCAATATATTTGTTTCAATTTAATATTTGCTGTATCTAAATGATAAATTAACAATTAAAATATATGATAAAATAAAAGTGATGCAAGCATATATTTATCGCTTTATTTATGAGCTACAGAATCGTAAAGATAGTCACATTCATACAAGATATTAGATTATTATATACTACATCCTATGGGTAACTTATAATAAACTAAAACGATTTCTTAATTCATAACTAGGTATCTCGCTAACACTTTACTTATGATAATCGTGAAATTTTTGTTGTTTAATTACATAATTTTAATAACATATTTTCGATAAAAAAAATTAAACAATATCAATAGTTGAAGCGGTTAATGAAGAAGGATAAGAAAAATATGTTTATATAAACAATACACTTAGTATTCACTTAATAGTTTAAAAATATTATAATTAAATATAGAAATTATAACTATGGCTAACATAATACGAATTAAATATTTAAAACTTTAGAGTAAACAACTGTTCCGATTGAATACCTAAAAATTAAAATATAAAAAAACAAAAAAAAAACTTGAATCAACGTATTTTAATTTATTACTTACATTATAATTACTTAAAAAAATTGCGATTTGTTGTATTTACATTGAAATATATAAATAATATATAGCTACTTAATAAATAATAATGTATGTTTATAAAAAGACTGAGAGTATGATAATTACATTTTCCAAAGAAATCATCTAATGGAAGAAATATTCATGTAATACTTAAAAATAGATGGAAAAGACATGGAAAGAAAATTAATTTTAATTATACATAAGTATTAAACAAATAACCTTATAAACCGCAATCCAGTCATAAAAATTAAACATGTGATGTCTTATCTTAAGAAAGGCTTTAAATATGTTTGATATATTTAAATTATAATTAATTTAAAGATATTTAATAAACCTTAAAAATAACCACTTGTAAAGTATTAATTATTATAGTCTGGTGAGGTGACTGATAATTAACACTTAAATTAGTTAAATCAACACTAGTGGTTAGCAATCATAATTTATAATAAAATTACTTAAATTTGACATAAGTTTTAAATTAAATTTTTTTTCTTTTTATTAATTTAATTTACACAAAAATTATAAAAAAAAAATTGACAAAATATTATATAAAGTATATCTACGAATTAGTGATGTGTTCGTTAACGGATTTTTACTAGCTATAAAAAAATGGGAAAACCATACAATTTTATAATTTATACTGTATTTTTGAAATAATTATAAAATGCTTTATTTATTTAAATTTCAACAAATTTCAATTGGTTTTTATTTTCAATACTATATATGCAATAAGCAGGTCTCTATTTTCAAATATTGAAAAAATTAAACGTTAATTATTTTTCATGAATCATGGAATTAGCCATTAGGACATTTTTTATACTTGAAAAAATCTAGAATATTCGTACTGTAGAAGGTTATGAACTTTTTAATTAATTAAAATAGGTATAAGTTTATGTTATATTATATATAAGAATTTATATTAAAAAGCATTATTATAATAATAATTTGGTGAAATCTGCCAAAAATTTTTAGAATTTATTTTCTTAATTATAATGGATTCTAAAAATAGTCGAAAATTCATTTTCGAGTACTCCCCTCCTCTTCAACCACTTTAAAAATGCAGAAAATATAAGAAAATAATAAATTTTACAAGTTGGATTTACATTCTAAACATTTTTGTACACGATTCTTTCGATCACATTGCTAACTTTAAGTTCAGTCGATTGGGATAAATTGGAAAAATAGTAATTTATAAGATCAAATATACTAATACATCTAGATGATAATATAAATTATTAAAATTCCTTATTCCTAAGGTATTATCTTATAATTCTATTTTTTTAGATCATTTTATGAATACACATAAATTAATAAATAAATAATAAGTGGTTAAAATTTATTGTTACATCAAGTTTATTTTATTTATTTAGTTTTTTATGATATACAATAATATAATATCTATTATTTATTATATCTAGTAATTAGTAATGGGAACTTGAAAAATTATTATAATTAATAATACAAGAAATTAGCAAATAATTATAGTAATTATACATATAATATAAATATTTCCTTATTAACTTGTATGACTATCAATAATAGGATGTTTGAGAAGTTTAAAAACGATTATTAGACTAATCGGGACTGATAAGCGATAATAATATGATATAATTAATGAGATTATTATGTATTTTACTTTATATATGTACAGCAGTATAATTTCTCCATGAAGGTATTAAAATATGCATACAGTAATTACGAGTTCCCAGGTTAATTAAATACTTGATATGTGACTTATATCTATAAATATCTTATTGGAAGTTGCTACCGTCACCGATTTATATTATACTATTTTTATTATATTATCTAACCTACAGTATACTATGATTTCGATGGCTCGGTAACCATACACTATGTACATGGTACATTAGTGACGATAACGTTTGTGCAACCAAAATAGTTGGCTGACTATTTTAACTATTGTGCCTATGTATATTGGACTTGCGTTGGTTCGTTAAAAATCCAGCATAATTTTTTGATTTAATGTCGTAATTTAAAAAAAAATTGCATACCTATGTAATATAAGAATTTGAATGTGGTGCAAGAACAAAAAAATAAAAATTAAAAAGTACACAAAATTTTGACAAATCTTTATATCTAATGTTTACAATAGTTGTGTAAATTGTACCTGACCTTGTTTGATCTGAATATTATATTCGTTTATGGCCAATCAACTGAATACATTTAAAAAGGTTTGGAAATGACAATTTCGATCTTGACATTTTATATACTTTAAATGTCAAGGCTTTATTATTTTTTACAACAACTACGTAGACGATTGACCATTGATGTGTTTCAATACACGGCGTTTTAATTTATTACCTCAAATATAATGTCATATTATAAATAAACACTTGCATTTACAAATACTTATACCGGTTTTCTCCAATGTCACTTTTTATTGTTTGATTCATCCGAAATCCAATTATTGTTTGGTTTGTCGAACCGGTTATTTTTTTTAAATTTTAACAATAAAAGTATAATATAAACAACTATATTTATTATTTACATATTATATACTAGTTTAATATACATATGAGTGGGATATCAAACAGATTTTCGAATATTGAATTAGTATAAATACTATTAGGATCCTTAGACTCAGTATCAGTGATCTACAGTTATTACATCGATACACATCGAGTCTTTCACTAGTTGAGCTACTTAAATTCATATCCAAACATCATCATGTACAAGCTTTTGGTGAGTACCTTTTTTTTTTATTCGAAAATATAAACAATAGTGTAATCTTGCATATGTAATAGCTAGTATTCAGTAAGAAAATATAATTTTGTTTAAGTTTATTAACTAAAAAATAAACATGAATTTGTTTTTCTAAAATTCATCAGTAAATTTTTTAGAGCTAAGTTTAAGGATATGTATCAAGCTTTTAAATTTTGTATAATACTTACAACAAATAAATTAGTTAAATCAATAATTTTTACTGGTTCTTCTTTTTTTATAATAGTCACACAGTTTTTAAATTACTTTTTTTTATATTTTTAATAATATTTTATAATATAATAACTAGCTCTCAATTATTTAGATACTGATACTTAACAAATATATATATATATATATATTTATAGCTTCGAGAAGTAAATATTTTACTCAAACATTCGATGTTTATAAATTAAATTAAATAAAATAATTAAATTTCGTGTTACAATTTTTTCCTAGTTAGAACTTTATACAAATAATTTATAGCTAGGTAAAAATTCATCAGTAAAAAATTTAATTTTTCATAACATTAAAAGAAAAATAATATAATGTTTGTAATATAAAATCTTCTCTATATTTAATGAATTGCTAATAATTAAAATCGTTTTTAATAGTTATTGATTGTTGCCGCTTTGGCTTTGATCGCTGTTGCTTCTTCTCAAATCATAACCTACCCACTGAACTACGCACCGGTTTACACCTACCCAACGTACCATTACACTTACCCAGTGTCTTACAATCCATACATTACTTTACTTCGTCGATGAATACATTTTCTACCAACTCTGTAAGTATAAAACTTTAAAATAAGTGTATACAAATTTTAAATGTATAATTATTTTCAGTATATATATATATATATATATAAACAAATTGCACATTTTTTTTTCTAACTTTTTACTATTTTTCATCCTATCTTATTCTTCATTTTGGGTCGAGAATTATATTTACTAATTTCTTGTTGATTAAATGAGTATTCATTTATTATATTATCTTAAATAATAAATTATAAATGTATATTTTTAGGAACCTATCTGAAGTTATTATGCAGTTCAACGCAAATCTTATGAAAACGATGACAACTAGAAATGTATTTATTTTAGTAAATTTATTATTTACTATTTCTTGACAGTTAATTCTTTTATCTTTATATAAAAATTTGTGTAATCATAATGTAATACTTTTTAAAAATTTTTTCAAAGAACCGTTTAATGTAATATATATTATTATTTATTGAAATATGCTCGTTTTTTACTGATGCATATTTGCATATTAAGTCATTAGTATATTGACTTTCTTTTTCCTATGTAGTAATAATATATGTCTTTCCTAGTTAAATTGTTTTATCTTAAGAAGAAGTAGAAAAACAAAGGACAGAATTAAATTGTCTCATATTATCTCCTTCGATATACTTGTAATTTAAGTCAACATTTTAAATTTTATTTAAGATACTTAATCAGAAAATATAATAAGAATTTAAATTATTAATAATTACTCTAAATATTTAAATTTTGATAGTTAATTAATAATTATTAAAAACATTATTTAATTCTAAATAATCACTCAAATATAAAATCTTACGTTTATTAGATAATATATTTTTTGTAACTAACAAGAAAATTAAATTGGATGGAAAATATTCCAGACATTTTTAAAATACAAATAAAAAAATATAAATAGTAGGCACACATCCTTGTTGCGTGGAATTTACTATTCTTTTATGGTTAAAATTAGATTATTTTTAACTCAATAATGACACTAAAAATGTATTTTGTACTAATTACAGATACTTAAAATAATATGTATTTATTGTATTACAATATTATTAATAATTAAATAGATCAATCTATTTATCTAACTATTTTTTATCTGCCCATATACAAATAAGTAATTAATAATTAATTATAATAAATAGTTATTATCAAATTCTATAAGTAAATATTCAAAGCAAACACATAAAAATGAACCTACATAGTCTGATTTTTTTCAAAATATTCTACGCATACTTATTATAAAGAGAACTAAAATATTTTATCTGCCACGTGTAGCTTGGTAGGTACATATGACTATTTTAACAAATGTCATTTAGGAAAACCGTTTTCTGTACTTAATAAAATATAATTAATATTGATTACATTTATGAAATTTAGATATTTTATACTTAAGATATATTATAATTCGTAAGTGATATAAGTTATACACACACACACAAACACACGTTATAAAATCAGTATATTTATCACTCTGTTCAGAATCTAAAAAAAAAAAATATTGTTGTATATTGTTTCGAATTATACTAAGCATAAAGTATAAGTTTTTACTAAGTGTATCCTAAAGTTTTAAATACATTTATGACAACCCAGTACAGTTGAATAAATATATGGTAATTTAGTGTAAAGACGTAAAAATAACTATTGATCCGTTTTGCGACACAAGAGAAAATATAATTTTAAAAGCTAAAATATATGACAAAGCCACAAAGGTACTTGTAAAAATGCCCTTTTTTTAAAATAAAATAACGTTTCCAAGAAAATATAATGTCTACATTATTGCAGTAATTGATTTTAAATCATGTTTAATTTACATACCACAAATTGAAATAATTAAAATATGTTTTATTTTTAATAATAATTGCTGTTGATGTGATTCAAAAAAGATTTTATTTCCCAATCATAATATTTCAGTTTACGGTGAAATAATCAAATCAAATTTATATATTAAATGGATTTTTTTTCGAAATGAGTGTTAAGAAAAAAAGTGACGCCATTTTTAAATTGTGAAACAGCAATAAATCAATCATTGACTGTCGACTTTTTTATTATAAGATGAAATAGTGGAAGTAGGAAGAAAAATAACCTTAACATTATTATAAGTACAATTTACTTTTCAATCAATGCTTTATTTACCTAAAAGTCTGAATAAGAACGAATTTTGTTCATTATATATTTATATAGCAGTTTTAATATACATTGTTTATTTAAATACATCAATATTTGATAGATATTTTAAATGTTTATAATATGTATAAATTGTCGTCAGAAAATGAATTAGCAGCGTGTAAAATTGAAAATATGTAAGTTTATCGATAAATACTTAAACTGTATGTGAATACATAGGCGATATTTAGTGGTAATAAGTGTAAGGTGATGGCATTAGGTAGTAATGATTTAATTTAAATTTGAATATTTTTTTCACAATAATGCGTGTTAAGTTTAAGTGTAGTTTCATCATATCAATAGAATGTTCCGAATAAAATCAACATGTGGACAACCGCCAATACTAGTAGATAAAATCTTTGGTGGGAGCAAAATTGCACCAGACATTTTAATTCACAACAACTGATTAGTATATGATCTGATAGCTAATCGTTCAAAAACCGTTTAACATTTGTTAAATAATTACAACATGCAATTTTGTCTCCACGTCCATTATTGTAGAATGTAAAAAAAATAATTTATCAGCTAAATACAACTATACGATTTTAATCAAACATATTTTTTAAATTAATTATGTATATTTTCTTTATTATCTAATAGTTATGTTTTCATTATATTTTTATTTTATAAATAACCATACGACTCCATAAATTATAAAAAATAAAACTCATAATTTATTTTATAAGCTAAATGTACACTAACATAAAGTTTAAATATTTAATGATGTACTTACATTATCATCGAATTTACATATCTTCAATCCAATTTCGACAACCGATGTCAATTATTCATATACACTATAGATATTTAAAATATCAAATGTTAATTTATATGAATAGCCAATTTATATTTAAGTTGTAAATTTATATACTTCTTTCTTATTCAGATATTCAAGTAAATTAAATAACATTTTTAGTGTTATTTTTTCTCATCTCCAAGATCTTATCTAAAAAAATAGTCGACGGCCCGAAGTTGATTTATTGTTGCAACAAAATCCATCCATGGAGGTGAAATAATAATGACATATTTTATCTTATTTACTCATTTCGAATAAAATTTATGATAATAAAAATTTAAATCTGTCATATAGATCATAAACTGAAGCATTGTTTTTTACTAATTCAATTTTTTTTTCGGGTCAATATTAACAACAATAACTAGTAACACAAAGTTATAAAATATAATATCATCATTATATATTATACATTGTACAAAATTGAAAATTGTTCTCTATAATAATATAATGTTATATTTTAATGAAAATGATTTTTTTTTAAAGTAATTAATACTACCTTTATCAAATATTTTATATAGGTAGTTGAATTATACTTCTCGCATCACATAACGGATCAATATTTTCACATCTTTAAAATGGGTTGTTATAAATGTACTGAACATTTTAGGGCACACAGAATAAAAACTCTCTCTCTATCATTTTTGGATATAAATTACTATCCAAACATTTCAACCTTTGTATCTCTACGCACACGGTTGATTTTCTTTTTATCATTATTAAAAAATAAATATGTACTCAACGAAAATTGACATTTCTGTAAAGGTAGGTACACATTAAAATTAATTTTACATTTTAATTTCATGGAAGTAGCATGAGTGTTCTTTTTAGTGGTTTTTTTTGAACTCGCTATCCACCTAATTATTAAGCCTATAATTTTATATATTTCGGCAGCTATATTTTATTAAATTTGGTTGATGTACTGATACTGGCAAAATATATCGACATGCAATTACTGCTCTGACACAAACATTTATTTCAAAAATCTACTTATAAAGTCTTTTGTAATTATTTATAACCATTATAAAACAAATGTAACTGCGACAATAACATAATATGTGTTATGATGTCGTAGCAGTAAGTATAATGTAACAACAATAATATTCAGTCTATCAGATTTACACAATATATTATAAGCTTAGATTTAAACAATACATAAGTTCAAATTTAAAAATTGAGAATAAAACAGTTATGAACAAATATGTATTGTAATGTTTACAGTAATATTATGCTCAATACAAAGTTAAGCAATGCAATATAATAATTTTATAAAAACCAGAAATAGTTATTTTTAGAATATTCCAGAGAAAATAAATTAATCACGATAAAGTAATATCACAAATGTTTTGTGCGGCAAAAGTTTTGACTGTGCTCCATAGCATATTAAACTGAAAGGAAACAATCACTTCGTTCACAAGCTACTTTTCTCTTATATTTTAAATCAATACAATACTCATTTAATATGAAATATGACTTAATGTCACTATAGTCAAAAATATCGCGTAATTTTTGATTTTTCTAGAGAGGTTGAACTAAATAAATAATTTCAATACAAAATACAGCTGCTAAAATTTAATTAAAAAGTTGAAAAATATTAAATATTAAATCAGAAATTATGGATAAATTTAAGTGGCTGCTTTGTTTTAAAACGTTTACTGCATTAGTTAGTATTATTATATACAAACATCTAGCGTTAAAATAAAAAAAACGTAATTTTAAAAATAAAGTTGCATGGGATTATAACATTATTATTGTAGTACATGCCTGGATTCTACATATAAGGCTTTAGAAATGTATACTTATATAATCCACATCTTATTTCCTTCGACAAAAGAAAAATAAACAATATATACTTAGGTCACACTCAAAAATACACAATTTAGGTAGGTAAAATAATATGTTCCTTTATACAAAAAATACATACCACTTACACCTGCGACTTGCGAGTCAACTATTGTTATATTTTTATCTCACGGGCCATATTCATAATAAAAGCGTGTATTTATTATAATGATGAAAAATTTGTTGAAAATACATGTTATGCTTAAAATATATTTATGAGTTTCAAAAAATCCAAGGATCGAAAATTGATTAATTCCCTATGATTTATTTAATTCTATATACACATCTAGGTCTAAATATTCGAACTTAAACACTAAAATATAATAGAATTATTCCTTGAAACCTATCTACACAGCATTATATTTCTTCAAAAACATAAAAATATTTATATTTTTCTGTCAAAACAACTGATCCATTGAGTTACTTTTGATGTCAAACAGAGATAGAGCCCCTCTTGCCCCATACCTATACGTTATAAAAAAAACGTCATTACTACAGCCAAGTTATTATTACATTACGTGCAAATTGCATTCTGCT